AGTTACTGCGCGCTTTGAAAATTCATTCCTCCTCTCCTAATAGAGATTAAAGAACGAACCCGCTGTTATTTATTGAGAATACAATTCTCGATCGATAGATGTTGCTTTCATTCCTTCATCGCAATTAGGGGGGAAGAAATGAATTTTCCAATCTGGGGAGCCCCTCCGGGCTCATGCACCGCCGCTACAAAATTTTGCGGTTGAAGCTTCTACCTAAGCGCTGGCAGTCTCCCCTATAATCTCTGGTCATTCCATTGAAAATGAGAATAATGGCGCCATCTCTCAGCGTGGCGCTGCACTTAAAATTACAACTGTTGAGACATTTGCTAAGGATACCTGCAATACCGAGCCCTGTTTAACCGCCTCATCAAAATATGTCCATCTGAGAATTTGTCCATAAATTTTCGTGTCCATCTGTACTGCGCAGATTCGTGCCGCCGCCATTTTCCCCAGATCGTGTCCAAAATGGAATTTGTCCATCTGAGATTGTACAAACGCCCCCCCCCCCCCCAACGAATATTCATTTGGTCATATTCAAATGGTATGTATCTACCATTCGTTAATAGTTAACGAATATCGTTTGGAATAAATGAATCATTCTATCAGTGTGGGTACTGGATTCTGTAAAAATTACTGGGTACTAGAAATATTTTCTGAACTCTCCGAGAAATTTCACTGGAATCGAGTACTTTTTGTCGGCAGAGACTGTTATCGGAAATCAGAAACGGTTTTCTGCGTTTGCCTCATTCCATGCATTAAATTTTAACAAATCCAATCTGGACGCCGCCGACGTCGAGAGTTCCTCAGGATCACCCAATGCTCGGTCACTATCACGGCAGTTCATTCTAATGTACGTTTCACTGCGTTTTCCGGACGGTACGAATCATTTTTAAAAACCGGTTGATAAGATAAAACAAGAATCATTACATTTTTATACTTCGACGTTCGCCTTGATGTGCAACGCATTAATGGCATGTCAATAAACAAATCCAGTAAAACGGTTATGATACACTCGTTGAACAATCACGAACAATACCCCGATCACTCGAACTATTGATTTTCATCGTAAACTCGACCTTCTACGCGCGAGTTAAATGCGAAAGAGTTAATTAGCAGTTTTATTAATCCGTCCGACACATTTTACCATTCAAATATACAGCGATATTGCAACTAATGATACGTGCCTATGCAGTTTGAAACTAGTCACATCTGGCCTCAATTTTCCGCGCACTTAATTTTGTCGACTATTCATTGACATGGAATTCATAGTGAAGAATGTTTTTCATCTTTCGATCATCCCGATTTTCTATTTCATTTGACGATTTTCATTTTCAATAATAATTCGATATATTAAATTTAAAAAATCAAATACCATACTTATCATAATTATTTGATGTTTCGTACGAGGAATATTTATTAATTTTTTTAACTTTACGGTCTGAAGAAAAGACGGTATTGACTAACGTTAACGACTCTGAAAGTGAAATGTTGAATTGCGATGATTTTCCCTCGTTTCATGACCTCTGGAGTCATTCTGGAACGTTTTTGAAAAAAGGTTTGTGTGTGCCTATGTATGTACACTGAGAGAAAAATATTCTTCTGACTATATTCCATCACCATCGAATTATAGTCAAAAAGTCCTCAACAATTTTTCATGGGTTACGGTAACTATGGCCGGAGAAGTAATTACTACAATGGAATGTAGTCATTGCAACTATTTTATAGTTCTCCTCACGATAGATTTGTCGTGGTTACTTTTGAACTTTGGTTAGTTTAACTGCATTTTGATTTGCAAAAATTACGCTTGTGAAGTTACTATAATGTTATGTGCCGCATACAAAAGGAAATCGTATCGTTCACCAAAATGCCTCAACTATTTTCTTTTTTTAAATCGAACTTCAGATTTTTCTCTCAGTGTATGTGAACGAAATTTTGTCCAACGATTTATATGCTTACATGTAAATATTGCGGTTAGCATCGTCAGGGAAATTGTGGAGAGGAGCTAAGTGGCTCGAGGTCGTGAAAGTATCGGCAGATGATTCTCCCACTTGTTACTATTTTTATAACGCGCGCTTCGCGGCCATAGGTATTGTACGGAGTCGAATGTTTAATGATATATTTGTGTGTGTTTTGGTTCTTTATTCAATTAATAAAAATGTATTAATAAAATAAATAAATCCGCCCCTTTCCATAATTCATCGCCTAATCTTTACAGCATATTCACAATTGTTGGATTATTGTACCATATTTCAAGTTCAAACTTCAGGATATTTAAGTACTTCGTCAAAGTTAACAACTTTCGATATCTATAAGTTCTAAAATTCTAAACTTATCACCAATGATCATCATGTATCTGATACTATTACTATTAATGAAAAAAAAAATATTTTTAGTGAATATTGAAACATTTCGTTTGCCAAGGACAAACTCAAAATCAGATTGACGATTCTTAATCTGACTCTCGTGACCCATAACCCGACCCTTTGGACACTTAACTTTGGAGTCTTAATTTCGAGTACCAAATTTTTATCACCCCAAGTCGATTTGGATTTTTATAATGTAGACAGATAACGTTTTTCCTATTGACATTCAAGATATTCCATACTTAGAGAATTTATCCCGTTCATTTCTCGCAAGATTACAGGTATTATCCGATTGTATCATCCATATAAAAATAAAAAAATATTGTGCTACATGTTAAGTGCGTTCGAAGCTGCGGCCCTCTACCTTCATTTCCCGCTCATCGCGCGTCCCTCTCCCCACTCCTTGGTCAAACAACAACGCGTGCTGAACGTATATTCCAACGTGCTCCTCAGTGAAGCGGTATTTTTTTCCAAAAAATAATCGCCGAGAGGTCACCAATTCTTTTAAAAAATCAAAATCTACTTCCCTGAGACACCCTACAACATCTCGAGAAAATGGTGAGTCCTCATGTTTGTAAAAATTATTCAAAAAAATTACCCCGAGTATTCAACAAATGTTGAGGTTAAGTTTCCTCCACGTGTGACTCCAAACGCTCCAAAAACTTCAAATAACATAAATTAAAACACAAAAAAGTCCTCAACACCAATTAAGGGTGTTTATCTATTTTCCGAACGTTCAATTTTTTCACGTTCGAGGAAAATTCTCACATTTTTTGGACAGATGGGAGAACACATGATACAAAAATTGCTCATAATCAAGAAAAATCAGTTTGGAGTAGCTTTCACGAAATGGAATGAAGTATTTTTTTTTCATTCGTGGATTCTTATGGTATTCAATTCAATAATTAATAATTCACCTAATGGAAGATTGCGAAAATGAAAATAAAAATAGAGAGCAATGTGAAAAAATAGACTGAACCAATGGGCAAGTGCGTTGGTAATCATGTAGTTAATATTTCTAAACAAGCGGATAATTGCATTTTTTATAAATAAGTTGCTTGCGAATGTATTCTCTTTTTTAAAATTCTTATTTCACTATTCTCTTCTTAAATTTTTTCATGTTATAGTAATATCATCAATTGGAATGTCATCAAAATTTTGCGTATTATTTCGTTTTATCAAATAATTCTGCCTTCAGATCCTCTCAGGACTCAAATTAGTTTTCAGTCCGGGTTTAATTAAAGTTTAATCACTGTATAGCTAGAGTTTTCGCCGAATTTCGCCAGAGTTTAACCCAGATTCTGTCAGAAATGAATATATCAATATATCAATAGTCGGGAATCAATATGAATAACCATGAATCAATATGAATAAGTATTGAACATAATAGACTGGTACCTGAGTTTAATAGAAACAGAGAATTATTGTTGCTAATAAATTAGCAATTTGACTCCGACTAGGTTCTCTTTTAAAATTCTCATTTTTTCATGTCATAATACTTTCATCAATTAAAATGTCATCAAAATTTTACGTATTATTTCATTCTGGCAAGTATTCTACATTCAGACCCTCTCAAGACTCCAATTCGTTTTCAATCCGGGTTTAACCGGGTACAATTAAGGTTTAATCAGTGCATAGCCGGGATTTGTTCAGGATTTAGCTAGAGTTTAATCCAGGTTCTGTTAGAGGTTGAAAAAATCAATGAAATTCGATTGATCCCTCATAAGAAAATTTCGAAAAAATTTAAAAAAAGACCCCATTCATACATACACCATCTAAAAATCGCATATTCGTATTTTTCAGTTACCCCAATATAAAAAATTGGAAACTTAAATTTAAGCCATTACAAAGTTCCCATTCAGAAGCAAAAACAGCGCTCAACAATGAGATCTTCCTAGACTCAGCTAATCAGAAACCGTCTCCTTCACTTTGACTCTGGATCACTCGAAAAAATATCAAGAATTTAGTGACTATTCGTAATTTTGAATGAATATCTTTGATCATTCATCCATCGAATCCGTGAATTGATTGATTATTTCATCCTCAGGCAGACGAAGTCAACCCTAAAGCCTACCCCCTCGCTGATGCCACTCTCACAGCGAAGATCCTGAATCTTGTTCAACAAGCAATGAACTACAAACAACTGCGCAAGGGTGCAAACGAAGCAACGAAAACCCTCAATCGTGGTCTGTCTGAATTCATTGTGATGGCAGCGGATGCTGAACCCCTAGAGATTCTCCTTCACTTGCCACTACTCTGCGAGGATAAAAACGTTCCCTACGTCTTCGTGAGGAGTAAACAAGCCCTGGGCAGAGCATGTGGTGTATCAAGGCCAGTTGTCGCATGTTCAGTCACTGTTAACGAGGGATCACAGCTGAAGCCACAGATTCAGGCGATTCAGCAGGAAATTGAACGTCTCTTGGTTTAATTCAGTTTTATAAAATGTTCAATGAGGAGTCCGTCCCGGACTATTTTTTCAGAAGTTTTTATTTCAAGTTCTGACAGGAATTTTTGTTCTTTGTTAAATATTCGATTTGATTCGGTTTTGATTTGTCTCCTCATTGCACCTAATTATAGAATTGTACCTGAATCAAACATTCTTATTACCTCTCTCAGTAATTATTTCATTCTTGTAATTATGCTTTACAAATGAATTAAAATACATTTTGTATCACAAGATGCTTAAAATCAATAAAAAAAAAAGGAAAACTTAGGTTGAGTCTTAATTTTTATTCCGCGGGGAGAATTTTATCAATTCTTTTGGGGTGAGAAACTTATTTAAGACTTGACGAGAGCGAGAAAAATGTGAAATCAGTAGTGAAGTGATGAAAAGGGGGATTTTACCCATCTTATTGAACATGAAACTATTTCGAAAACGACAGACTTTGGGGGAGAATGTCAAGGGAATTTATTGAGGAAATTCATTCAACGAAAGAAATTTCCGAACATTTTCTCCTAAAATCATTTGTTCTCGAGATAAAATCACAATTCTGAGAAATTTCCAATTGGAATTGTGAGATTTTATCGCGTCATCACTGCAATAATACAAAAAAAAATACCAGAAACATAAATGACGATTGTAAACAAACACTTAGAAATGAAAAAAATTTCGGGTGTTCATATTGAAAAAAAAAAAACAATGAAATTATATAAAATATGAGTTTGGGGAATGTTTATTTTAAGCACGAAATGCTTAAAATCAATTTAAAAAAAAAGAAAACATGTCGAGTCTTAATTTTTATTCCACGAGGAGCATTTCATCAATTCTTTTCAGATGAAAAACTTATTTAAGACGTGACGAGTGCAAGCAAAACATGGAATCAGTAGTGAAGTGATGAAAACTAGATTTTACCGATCTTATTGAACATGAAATTATTTCGAAAATAGTAAACTTCAGGAGAGAATGTCAAAGAAATGTATTGCGGAAATTCAGCAAAAAAAAAGTCTCGTGGCAATTTCCCCCAAAATCGTTTGTTCTCGAAATAAAATCCCGATTCCAAGAAATTGTTCAATTTGAATTATTACGTTTACTCGCTTCAGTACTTAAATAATACAAAAATAAACTTTGAAGATTGATTATTAATCTCTCTCGTCAATACCAAAAACAAATCACAAATGTGAAAGAACACTTAAAACTGAAAAAAATGTCGGGTATTTACATTGCAAAAAAAACCATTGAAATTATATAAAACATGAGTTTGGGGGACTGAATTAGTTGAAGCATGGGAAAACTACCGTCGACCAATTACCGTGCCATCTCATCTGCTGGAATGCTTTCAGTTCGTTACGGAATTTGGATTCTCTCTCGAGTTGTTCGATGTTGTTGGGGAATTTCGTGAACCAGTAGATCAGTTGTTGAGAGAGATCTTTGTAATCAGTAAAGACGAGACTGTTCTCCTCGTGTTTAACGAGTTCACTCAAGCTGAAATACGAATTACATAGCATAATTCACGTTTCAGACATTTTTTTACGTCAAAAATTGCGATCACTAACCATTGGTAATTGTAAGCACATACTGGCAGGCCACAACCGAACATATCCACGACCTTCATTGGTAAATCGAGGCCACTGGAGGATGTGTGGAGACATACCCCTAGATCAGCACTGGCTGAAATCAGAAAAAAGGAAAAATCCAGATGAACAAACGGTTTAATTTTTTTAAACGACTCAGTTCTTCATTTTAAAAAAGCCAGAACTATTATTAGTTTATTATCAGCATTTAATCTGTTTACTGTCCATTATGAACTAGATGAGAAGCTGAAGAAAATTCTACCAACAGATTTGGAACAATATTTTTATTAGTTTGAGGGGATTCAACGCTTTTTACCTAATAACTTGGGGTAGTCCTCATTCTCCAACCAGGGAGTGACGATTTTCACGTGCTTCCACTTTCTCAACTCAATTATTGCATTCCAGAAATCCTTCAGAGGGCCTTTACCAGTGATAACACAGATCAAATCTGGTAAATTTGAATTCTCAGAACAGCAGGCAATCTCATACTCTGAAATAATAACGTGAAAAATGAATGAAACAAACTTGAAAGACAAAGTCAGCGTTTGAAATCCAGTAAAAATCGAATTATCTTGGTAACGAGTAGTTGTAGAAGAGAGAATTCAATCGTTTCTCAACTTTTTTTTTTTGAAAAATCGCTTGTTAACGAGATTGATCGAGCAATTAATAAAAATTAATAAAGTCCTATGCACCTGCTAGAGCTTGAAACAAGATTGAAAAATCCTCATCCTCAGTCCAACTGGTGCTAGAAACAATGAATGCTGGTCTCTTTCTCCTCAATTTAATTTCCCCATAGGGCATCACCTCAGTTAAAACAGTACTTCCTTCCTCTTTCCCCCTAAACTCCTCATATTTTTCACTCAGTTTAACCAGTAAATTATGCTTCTCTGGTAATTCAATGGGCTTGAACTCCTGAGGCGGTCGATCGTACAGAACCGTAGCTCTAAATTGCAAAAGAATAAGCAGAGAATAGAAATATTTCAGTTAAGGATGTTCCAGTACTTTAACTATTTTTTTTCCAGTGAAATGCTGTTCTAATTTTGTAGTCAAACATCAGAGCTTTCGTTTGAGCCCCATTTGACCCAAAGTTTCCAGACATTTTACAATAATTTTTTTATTTAAACCTTGCAGGTCTGAATTTGAATCTCGTGATTGAACCGTTGGAAAACATTTAAAAATGTAAAAAAATAGAAAGTTTACGTTGGGAGGAAGATTGATGTAGTAATTTAAAAATTACAATTTAGTTTTTCTGAAAAAAAAAAATTCTGAGAGAAAATTTTCTCTCAATGCAAACTCTAAGATACTTGGATATCCTTAAAGAATGAATTTTAAACATATTCCCATACTTTATGTTCCACTTCTGATCGAGATCTTCCTTCATAGCCTTCGTAACACAGAAATTCTGATCAGCCCTAGCACCAAAGTATCCCTCAATGAACATCGTAGTCTTGACGAGGAAATTCTCCCGCCCAATTGACAACGCCATTATTGTGTAAGCGTAATTATGCCAATCGATCACGAAACAAGTGGCGCTCAATCGACAAAATAGCCAGCAGATTGGAATTGTCGGGATTGCTGGGGGATTCTGAATCATCAGGTACCTCGAGCGGATGTTCTTGAGGAGTTCGAAGATGAGTGTTGCACTCTGCCAGATTGTTTTGAATACGTATGACAATAATTTGGGTAAACCTGAAAATCAATCCAGAGCAATTAAGGGTGTTTAGTAATTTTCCGAAGATCGAATTTTTTCATGTTCGAGGAAAATTGTTTAATCTTTTAGACTGGTGGGAACCATATGAAACTAACATTTCTGATAATTCAGAAGAATTAGTCCTAATAGCTTTGAGGAAATGAGACAATCTAATTCTTCTGAATACACGGGCTTTTATGGAATTTACTTTCAAATTGATGATTTTGAAGAAGTTTTTAAAATGGAGATACTGAAAAAAGTTCGCGGTTCTAGAAGACTGGATACTGAAAGTAAGAGATTGATTAATTCATTTCTGCAGAAAAATTCCTGAAATAGGGATGTAAATTACTAATTAACTATGAATTACAGATTAACTATTCAGATTAACTAAACAGATTAACTAAAATTATCAATTAACTAAAAATTCCGTATAATTTGGTAATGAATATTCATGTTTTCATTGAAAATTCAAGTAATTTGGAAAACTTTCGTCTTCCTTCTGCTCAAAAATTAGAAATTTTATTGAATTTTCAGTGAAACCTAATTTCCATGCTTTATAATCAAAAGGAAATCTCTCAAATTGAATTCATCTCAGTCTCTTGAGATTAACTAGTAAATTGTGCACAAAATTTAATTCCTTTTCTAACAATATAAAGTCTGAAAAAATACGTTACAATAGAAGACATTGATGAATTTCACTCTGGCAATCTCGTAGAGAAGAAAAGCTTTGATATTCAGGGAAATGCACTGTTGAAAGTTTTGGCTGAAATTTCCGGTACACTTTTCCGAAATTTTTATCACATTTTAAATTCCACTGAAATTTCAATTAATTTCGTCCCTAAAAATTCAGACTTTCATAGAAAAATCTACAACAACTGTCAATTTCAGTTGAATTATTCCCAGAAAATTATTAGAAATCAAGAAAATTACAGTTAATATATTCTTGAATTTTCAAATAATTGAAAATTCATCGTGATTCGGTACTGAATATTGATGATTCCATTAAAAATTCAAATAGTTTGAGGAACTCTCATCTCAATGCTGTTCAAAAATTAAGAATTTCATTGAATTTTCTGGAAAATCTGAAATTTTATGATTTGTTCTCCCTTAAATACCACTCAATGTCTCTCAATTTTTTTCCATCAGTGTGTCACTGATTTTTCAGAATTAGTCAACAATTATGAGTGATAATGGACAATGTTTAGAATAATCCTGATTATCTGCGATTTTTAACTCTAAAATTTGGGGATAGATTCCTAAAAATTAGATATGAAAATCCGAAACTTAGTGAAATTACTCTGAAAATTAGTGATGATGTCCTTGCAAATTAATGACATTTCTAAAAATCTAAACTTTTCTTTCTCTGAGCTCTACCTATTGATGATTGAGAACGACTCATTTCACCCTGTTCTCTCATACACAATTGATTATAAAGAATGAAACATACGATCATTCCAAGCTGGCACTGGCTTCAGGTACCTCATCCTCACATTCTCATGCCTCTGAAGATCCTCCAGTGGTGTCGATCCGGCATAACCAACGATCTCAACATCGAATCCCTCCTTTAGGAATGAAATCCCATGGTACTGGATCCTGGGACTTCTCCCCACATCCCCCAAGACAATAATGCAAACACTCTTCCTCTTCTCCTTCTGCCTCAACCATAATATCCCCACAAGTCCCAAAAACAACGGAGTGAGTAAAATAAAATACAATCCGAGTCCCATATCAGAATCCGGTGATAAACAAAACCGATTATCGCTCCAAAATGACGTTAAGGCGCCTCTCAACCGACTGCACCGCAACTGCACTAACCAGACAGGCCGTTATCTCATAATCATCTAAACTAGAGATGCAAAATGACTATCATTTTTAGATCTCGCTATATTACCAAAAATGACGGTCATGTGACAAATGCAAACAAAAACTGATAAAGAAAAAATAGTTGCATCTCTGCAGATGAAAAATGACTGTCATTTTTTCTTGGCACAAAGTGAGAAGCGTCATAAACTCCTGTAATGTGACCGTCATATGACGGTCAGTGTGACGCATTTGTATCTTTAATCTGAAGTAGATATTCAAAATATCCGTCATTTTTTAGATCGCGTTATATTACCAAAAATGACGGTCATGTGACGCAAAAATTTATTAGCTAAAAATGATGGTCATTTGAAAAATGACTGTCATTTTTTTGGCGCATGTGACGGTCTTTAAAAAAGAGGAGGGAATTATGATAAGCGTCATAAACGCCTAGTCATGTGACCGTCATATGACCAGAAATTACGGCCTTGTAACGGTCATGTGACGCAAAAATTTCCCAACTGAAAATGATGGTCATAAATAATTTATAAGTAAATTTATGTCAAACCATCTATGTAGATGCATAATAACGGTCATAACTAATTTCTGATTCGCGACGGTCATAAATTTAAAAAATGTGAAAAATGCTCGTGATTTCCATGACAAAATAAACATTAGGGCAATACAACACGAATTCAAATAAAAATTGATAAAGAAAAAAAAGTTGCATCTATGTGCATGAAAAATGACCGTCATTTTTTGTTGGCAAATTGCAATGGTCATAGACCGGCAGAGGGAGAGGGGGATGTGACATCCGCATCATCATGTGACGGGTCAGTGACGTATGAGCATCTCTAATCTGAACACAGATAAGCAGAAGATCCCGACGAATCTAGCAGCTAGATTCCTTGGGTCATCTGCTTATCTGAGATCTGGCTCTACCTCCACTGACCTGACAGCTTCAGCGACGAGACTTGGCGCCAAAAATCGCTGGAAAAACTGTGAAGTGGAACCATTGCCGGAAGAAGCCCTCCAAAATAATTTATAAATGTTTATTAAGTGATAAAGTGCAAAAAATCTCGTGAGAGTTCGATCAAGAGATGAAAGATCTCACTCATTATTTCGTTGACATGGATAAATCCCCGGAGACTCCGAAAATCCGTCAGAATGGGGTTACGAATGGTGCAGGAGATACTGAGGATGTTACCGTAAAAAAACGTGGCAGAGTGAAGATCAAAATATCCCAGGGAAATAATGAGGAGAAAATGTGTGATATAATCGAGAGTAAACATGATCTAGTGGACAAGACCCCGAGTCCCTTCACTGCACCCAAGGAGAAGGCAAAAGTCTCGCCTGGAGGAACTCCAAAACGTCGTCAAGACCTTGAGGATGAAACATCTGACGTAGAAATCGAGGAAGTGGACTCGGATTCCTCTGGGGGGAGCATCTTCAGTCTCCCTGAGAAAAAAAATGAGAAGAATGGGAGGGTTGACGAGGCTGAGGAGTCCAGGAAGGTGGCGAGTTCCAATGCCTTCCAGGTGCTGATGACTCGGAGTAAACCTGTTCAGTACCTCCCCCAGAAGCCTGTGAGCCCTGAAGAAGAGGCAGCCGCTGCCAAGAAGAACCAGGAGGTGAAGTCCAGGATGAAGCAGAATAAGGAGAGGCTGACTGCCCTTGCTGATAAGAAGGGGTACAGTAAGAGGAAATTGCAAGAGGCTGAGGAGGCGGAGAGGATCGAGAAGAGGCTGGAGAACAGGGCGAAGGTGTTCAAGAGGCTCAAGAGGGAGGAGGACACTTCGGGGAATCAGAATCAACGGCATTCAGGAGGCTTACATAATTATTTCAGGTGAATTCAGTAAACTGAGTTGGTAATTTTGAACATAAGATTTTAGAAGAATATGTCAAAAGGCATTTTTCGTAGCTAATTGAATTTCTAACAAAAATATCAGCTATTTTTTACCTGAAATTGCATATAATGAAGACTATTTAATACTTAATAATGCATACAAAAGTGAATTTTTATTACTTTATAACTGCGAAGACGAAAAAATATTATTTCTTGTCGGTCTTATTTCCTTTTGTCAGTTCATAATTTCGATGTCAATTCAGAGAAAAAAGACTATTGATAAATTGAGAAAAAAAATTCATTACATTTACATTTGATTAGAATTCCTTAATATCACCTAAATCCCATATTTAACAAATAAGAATAATCACCAATAAAGAAAAAACAAATGAGAGAAATCGACGTTTTTTTATTATTTTATCATTTAACAACTAAATTACGACCAATAAAGTGGAACAATACAAAGAATCTAACATTTGTATTGTTAATTCCAGTAAAATGACTCCAGAAGACCGAGAAAAAGAGAAACTACTGGCTCTGTCAACAGTAACGGTGAAAGCAGAGATTCATGCATCCGATCTTGGAAATGAAGCATCAAAAGTTGTCGTCAAACCCAAAACAACGATGAAAGCAGCTAAAAATAAGATACGAAAGGTTTTAGCTGCTATTGATGACATCCAGGTGTTGAGGTCAGAGTCTCCAAGTCCTCCTCCAGTTGTAACTGCCTCCCCAGAGCCACCAGGGCCCATAAATCAGCCAAAGCCATCAAAGAAGCCCAAATGGTCACTCAGGATTAATTTGTCTGGAGGAGAGGTCTTGTCCAAAGGTAGTTATCAATCATTATGTGATCATCAACACAGTCAAGGTTTATTCGAAACCATAAGAACTAAAAAAAAAACTCAATAGTAAATTTAAAAATGAATCCCATAAGAATCCTGTATAAAAACAAATTGTTTATTTAATTTCGTCAAAGCTGTTGCAAATGATTTTTCTGAATTATCAATAATGTTGGTTACACATGGTCCCCCTCAGTCTAAAAAACTGCAGAATTTTCTCCCAACATGAGAGAATTAGATTTTCGCAAAATGAATGAACCTCCTTAAAAACTTTAGGATGAAAAACTAAAACTTTATGGAAAAATGTATGGAAACAGTAAATTTCACTTCAATTATCTCATGAAAATTAATTACAATCACGAAAGCTCAGGTAAATATATCCTTGAATTTTTAATCAATAGAAAATTTCGTATACTTTAGTGCTGAATATTCATGTCTTGATTGAAAATTCAATTAAGTTGGAAAACCCTCGTTTTCCTGCAGTTCAAAATTTTGAAATTTCATTAAATTCCAGATGAAATCTAAAATTTCACGATTTTTTCTCACCGAAATTGAATTTAATGTCACTCTCCTAACAATTACTATTCAATAGTCCATGAAATTTCATATTTTTTTCTAACAGTGCCTGTGTAATATTCAAAATGTCCATTTAATGATGATAAGCGAGCTCAGAGTCTCCCAGGTAATTTCTTGGTCGATGGCAATGATCCTTTAACACTTTGATCTCTGAGAAAATAGAATCACTAAAAAACATTAAAACCCTTCCCCCTTCTCATATTAAAAACCTACCTCTTCATTTCAGACGAAGCCAACGAGTTCGAAGCCGAGGAAATCCCCGAAGTTCTGCCGAAGCCCAAAAAGAAGAAAACAAAGGAGAAATCGCGGAAATCCTCATCAAACTCTGATTCAAAAAATCCAAAAACGAAACCAGCCTCTAGAGAAATTCCCCCAGCAGTCCCTAAAGATTCTAAGCCAAATCCAGAGGCAGAGGAAGTCCCGCCAGCTCCCGAGACTCCCCCAGACTCTCTGGACGACTCCCTACAAATCTTGGAGCTTCCAAAACCATCAAAGAAGCTGGAAAAGCTCCCTAGAAGTGACTCGGATCCTCTTCCAGCCCCCAAGAAGACCCCCGAGCCCTCGGAATTGATTCACATGCACTCTCAGCCGCTCCCAGACCCTGAAGTCACAGAGATCAAGGTCCAAAAGCTGGCCCCCCTCTTCATAAAACGTCAAAAGCCAGACCCAGAGGTCGTGGCAGCTCGAAAATCCTTCCTATACTGCAGATCCCCAGAGGACCCAAAGAAAAAACTGAAGAAGTCCCCAGTACCAGGACCCTCAATCCTCCCCTTCCCCTCGATTTCCCACGTAATTCAGCATTCCCCATCGAAAGCCCCAGAGAATCCTCCAGCATCACCAAGGGTACCGTCCAGAGTTCCCTGGATCCACACCCCCACATTCAATCCCTCAGATTTCAAGTCCCTGAACACCTCAGACGTTTCAAAGCCCCAAAAGAACTCGAGAAGAGACCAGAAACAGCAGAAAGCAAACCCAGAGGACATCCTGACTGAAATCGAGTCGAGATGTGCTGAGGCTCGAGACCTCTGGAGTGCAATTTCTCCCATAACCCAACCAACCAAAGAGTCCCCAAAACTAAGGGGACGAAAGCGAAAATCCCTGGAGAAGAATCCACCCCTTCTGGAAGCTGAGAAGAATCTGGAGAGCGTGGTGTGGACCCAGAAGTACAGACCCTTGACTGCGAAACAGATTGTTGGAAATGAGGAGGCAGCGATGAAACTGAAGTCTTGGCTGGAGGCCTGGCAGTCAACTGGGAGAGATGATTACAGCAGTGGTGAGGAGTTTTACTCATCAGACAACAGCTTCCAGAATAATCTCGAGACGAATCAGGTTGCAGTGCTGCTGGGGCCTCATGGTTCAGGTAAAACAGCATCTGTTTATGCTGTTGCTGAGGAGTTGGGGTACACTGTGCTGGAGCTGAATGCGTCGAGCAGACGACCTGGCAAAAAGATCCTCAAGGATTTTGAAGAGGCGACCAAGTCCCACAGGATCAAGAAGACAGACTCGAGTGGTTCCAGCTCTCAAACGTTTCAAAAGGCTGAGAAAATACCTCAGAATTCGTTGATACTTGTGGAAGACGTTGATCTGGTGTTCGATGAGGACGAGGGGTTCGTCTCAGCTACTTGCCAACTGGCTAGCAACACCAAGAGGCCGATTGTGATGACCTGCAGGGGAGCCTGTGCCCATCTCAACAGAATGGCACCCCAGCAGATGAGGATTTATTATCAGGGAATGTGTGGGGACAGGGTTGGGGCTCTTCTGGAGGTGATCACACTGGCTGAGGCTGGAACTCGACTGCCACTTTCGTGTGTGGAGAAGCTGCTGGCGAAAGGGGACTTGAGGAGGGCTGTCCTGCAGCTTCAGTATCTGGTGCTGTCTGGGGTGCCTCAGGCTGGGGAGGTTCCCAGTGGATTCGGGGAGACTCTGTGGGCCGATGTCAAGAGTCATGTGTACAAACCTGCTGTCAAGAGCGAGAAGAAGATGAGAAAGAGGAGGGAGAAGGGACAGGAGACGAGGGAGGATTTGAATTCTGATGTTCTTCAGGGTTTGTCGAACGATTTGGAGACCATTTCGCTTTTGTCGAATTTTGTGGAGATTGATGATCGTGTTCTGACGGTTTCGGAAGTCAAGTTTGAACCCTGTTTGTCACTTCTTGAGAATGAAGACTTGTACTCTAGGAATAGGGACCAGATGATGGAGATTTCTCAGTGGGTGAGGGACAGAGTGATGGATAGGGAGGGGGGGAAGGATGAAAGAACGAGTTCTAATCAGTTTTTGCTGATGAAGAAGGAACTTAATTTTGGCGTCACCCTGGCGCTCTCACAGGTGGCGAGTAATAATTTAGATGGTTATTCGATAAGGACTGATTATTTACCGACTGTGAGGACAATCTGCCGAGCAGAGGAGCTGAAGATAAATAATAACGTGAAAAGGGGGAATAGATTTTTTCATTATCTGCAGAGTCTTAGACTACCGTCGGCATCGACCAAGGCCAATGTGCTAGCAACTGCTTGTAAAATAATGCAAGACGACAATCAGTAGACTGGGGATGTGTAAAGTTATTGAAGTTTATTGATTGATTTTTACGAGTAGTTTATATTGAATGCTTTGGGCACTATTTAAAATGGTGTGGAATGTATTTGTATAATTTTTTTTCTGAACACAAAGTGTTGATTCTCAATGAGAAGCGATGAAATGAGAATTAAGTATTGTTAATAGTAATTGTTAAGAAAATTTTTTTCATTCTTGAGGATTGGTTGTGCCTGAGGATCGTAAATAAAATTTGATTAATTGAATATATTAAACATGGACCATTGTTAATCTTTTCTATTCTAATGGGGAAAAAATATGGATGAAGGAATTATTGAGTGATAAAGTGTTGGGAAAAACAGAATGTATTTGTATTATTTTTTTTAACACAAAGTGTTAATTCTCGATCAGAAGGAATGAGATGAGAATTGATTATCGTTAATAGTAACTGTTAATTGTTTCTCCTTTTTTGCAAAATGATCGTGTTTGAGGATGATAAATAAAGGTTGCTTCACTGAATATATTTAACCCGGACACTTGTTTCTTCTTATTCTGGTGAAAAAAAATCATAGAAACGTACAGAATTGGAAACTACCATTAAATTTTAAAAAGATGCAATTTACGATTCAAGTCTACGAATTTCAGAATTTTTCGAATGAAGAAGTCACCGTAACGGTGTGCCACCTTGGTATCAGCGATGTGGATCATATCGTGATCAATGTAGAAGTCCAACTGAAATCGAAAAATCATTTCAAACAATTATTTCCTAATCTTCCTTCAACACTGAGTAAAAATTATAATTCTGCCAATCAAATCTGTTGCAAGCAAACAAACGCTCCAAATTTCCCTACAAAATTCTTGTATTCTTTGTATTTGATTGGCAGAATTATATTTTTTCTCGGTGAATATTTGCTATTTTACGCCCTGAAAGGGGATTAGACTCACCTCAGAGCCAGATTGGAATTTTCCATCGAGGCCAGATGCGCCTTTGGTCCACACGATATTCTTCATCTTGTGCTTGAAACAGAGGAGATGAATTGTCAAGCCAGCTACCTCTTTATCAAGATCCCAGTTCTCGTCAGGACGACTGGAACTGCACATGAATGTAGCCAGCTTATTCAGTGGAAGTGTGGTGTAGAGTTTCAGGTAGGATCTGATTGTTGGAAGCATTTTTTGCTGGATAACTTCATCCATGAAGACCTAAAACCGATGGAAATCCTTTTCAATATTTTTAATTAAATATCAGAGCCTATATTAGAGCCTCATCTGCAATGATTTCATCATTCAAATCTTGAATAATAAAATAATTCCATAAAAAAGATTCAACAAATTTAGGGCTTTTAATTACTGAAATATCAACTGCCTTTTATTCTCATCTGCAGTATGTGTTGCATTCTCAAATCAATTGGTTGCTCATAATCATCAGCTTTTATTAGAAATTATAAAAGCTATGGCTACTTAATTCTCTTAGACTGTTAGGAAATAATTCAAATTCCATTGGCAGTTCAGTATTTATTTTCAGGGGAGCGACATTAAATTCGATTTTGGAGAAAAAATCATGGAACTCAAAATTCCACTGGAAATTCAACGACATTCAAAATTTTTCAATGCAGAGGACGAGGATTCAGTCCCTAATTCCGGTGAATTAGCAAGAAATCGATGATTCGAAAATATATTAACCTGATTTTTTCTGATTTCTAATATAAGAAATGAATAAATAAATAAATGAATAAACACTGTGTGACCCTACGCTCCCACTTTATATATTCAATATTTAATATTATTCAGACTTGTATTCCCCTTGACCGTTACACGGTAAAAGAATTTTATCTTTTTTTTGTTAAAAGAAAGGTATCCTTCCAATTACTTATGGCATAGATAAAATGTGAAATTAAATATAAAATCATCATCAATAAAAATTGTGTAGTGAGAATCATTTCTAAATCATGAGCTTTTTTAAGACCCATCATGACAACAATAATATAAAATTATTAGCCAATAGGTTACCCCTCAATATTCAATAATAAAATTAGAGAATGCAACCCATGTTCATCGGAATGTTCTCATGAGAAAACCTACCTGTGTCTGATGTTTGATAGGATCCTTAGTATAATCCTCTTTCTCGCTGTCAGGACTGGGTGGCACAGACGACAAGAACTTGGGGCAGGCAAAGGTAAAACACCCCTCAAACTCCGCCAGATCTCCATACTGCATCTTGTACATCTTCTCGTGATAATTCCTGTCTCTCAGTTGCTGCTGGAGTCCCTCGTCAATGCACTGAGGATGAAGAACAAGGCAGATAGCCAGCAGATGATACATCTGTTCAGTCTGCTTGTTGATCTGATCGTTCTGATAGCTCCTAGTGGTGAACAGCTGCTTGGTGCGTTGAATGTAAAGGAGAATTCCGGAGAAAGTCCTGATGGCATCGGAATATCTCCTCATCATCATGTAGGCGAAGCCCACGTAGTAAGCAGTTGAAATTTGGCAGCCAGGAACGTGGGAGTACGCACTCTTCTTGTAGATCTCGACGTTCTCCAGGACCTTGATGGCTTGGTAATAATCACCGAGGAGTGAATGAAGTCTCAGGAGACCAATCAGGGCGAAGTAGCCCAGCATTTTGTAAAGTGGATGCTTGCCGAAGGGCCCAGCAACAGAATCAGGATCCCCACCACTGGCGAACACCTGTAATCAGTTTAAAGTCTTCGGTTGACTCTTGATATATCATGGGGAACCTAAAAAATTGGGAGCACGTCTAAAAAACTTCGTTAAAAAAAGTTTGTTAAAAAAAATCTGGATGAATTCAACTTGGGAAACTGAACTTTTGGTTAATTTAACTTTTATCGAATTAAACTTCCGTCAATAAAATCATTCGGTTATGTTGTCTTTTGTAAGAATATAATAATATAAGTAAAATCTGTGTTTGCGTTTGGAATTTCAAAGTGTTGTTATCCGTTTTATTTGGTTCCTCGGGAAAGGAACTAAACAGTCGTAATCGTTCAAATTTAAGTTTCCGAATTTAAGTTTCAAATTTTTAGGGAAACTAAATATGGTCTAAAAAGCCCGAATTTGAGATTTTTAGAAGGTGTCTGTATGTATGTTGTATTAATCTTCCTCCAAAAGTAAACTCTCCAATTGTTTCTCAGATTTTCAAAATGTTTTTTAACAGTCCAATTTCGAAATTTAAATTCAGACTTGCAAAGCTTAAATAATAAAATCATTGTAAAATGTCTGAAACTTAGGGTCAATGGATTTCTGATATAATTCTGAATATGAATGAATTTGTTACGATTCCGAGCAAATGATTTTTATGATGGGAAAATTGATAGTTTATAAATTATTTACAGAAAATGCTCGTAATTTTAAAAAATTGTAATTTTTAAATCATTCCATCAATCTTCCTCCAAAAGTAAACCCTCCAATTTTTTTCAGACTTCAATTAATTTCTAACGATTCAACATCGAGATTTAAATTCAGACCTGCAAAGTTTAAATACCAAAATCATCATAAAATATCCGGAAACAGGATCAAAAGGGGCTGAAATGAAGCTCTGATGTTCGACTACAAAAGTAGCAAAGCATTTCACAAAGCCCAATTTCAAAAACGTGAATATCTCGGAAACTAGAGTCGACAAAAGCCAATTTCCTGCAGACGTCCACATCCGCGTCTATGCTATTCTCTTTGTCATGACAAAAGTAAATAAAAAATGCTTTACACACCTCCAACTGGCTCTTAATCTTGGATTTGTCCACCAGATAATGAAGAACATTGAGAACACACAGGACATCCCAAATCTTATGATGAGTAGCTAAATTCTCGAGCTCCTCCGTGCTCTTATTAGCAAGATTAGCCCTGTACTGGGAGAACGATTGGAACTGATACACAAACTCGTCGATGAGCTCCCAGAGCCACTGGTCAGGCAGTTCCAGCTGCACTGGCTCGTCTGGATTGAGGATGTAGTTGAAGAGATCGCAGTAATTGTAGAACGAGCCAAATCGCTGCTCCAGGCTTGGCTGGTTCTTCGCGTAGATGTGACGGTAATACAGTTCCTTGTAGAGGATCAGGAAGACCGAGTCGTTCTCGACGATGTGAGCAATGTCCGAGTCCTCGGGCCACGGCTGCTTGTCGAACAACTGCTCCGATATCTTGGGAAAGGTGTTCTCGTAGAGATTCTGAATCTCGAAGATCATTCCCTCGTTTATGCAGTTCCTGAAGTAGATGAGGAACTTGCGGACCACCTCGGGGACTGTTCTGTATCTGTCATACGGCTCGGCGTGCAGCTCGGGGCCGGAGTAGTCCTCGTAGGTCTCATACTGGGGATTGGTTTTAGGTTATTGGGTTTTTTTAAAAGTTTACTGATGGTCGAGGAGCTTTTCTGGAGGACAGGGGGTCGTTTGCTTACCTGATCGTTGTAATCGTCGTAACTCATGGTGGAAAATGTGACAGAGGTGGGTTTAACCTAGAATGCACTGTTCGGAGCACAAGGAGTGAACGAGTGGCGTGGATTTTATCGTGGCTCCTGGGGTTGGCATGGTTGCACCCTAGGGCTTTGGAAGCAGGTGATGGCCAGCTAGATTACTACTGTGTCGACTGGCAGCAGGCGGAAGAATTCAAAGTTCCTTCTGCGAATACTGCACTGTTGGAAAAAAATGAAATTTCGTGGACCGTACTAATTTTTAGAACGGTGACACTGAATGTGATTTAGGGGAACAAAATGATATTTCAGGCTTCACTGATAATTCAGGAAAATTCCGGAATTTTGAGCAGCATAAAGACGAGCATTCCTTTATTTATTTGAATTTGCAATCTAATATGAATATTCAATGCTGAAAAACTCAATAACTTATGAAAATACCATAAATTAAATCATTTAGAATTGTTAATCCCTAGGGACTAACTTTTGGGTGGAATTTGTCTTGAGATACAGCTTAATGATTACACGAGCACGTAGCGTTACACCGAATTCAGTAGCAAATCGGTAAAACGGTTCAAGTCGATTTTGACTAATGGTCAGTTTCCAATGAATATCTGGAAATCTAAAACGGCTAGCAAAATTCCGTTTAAACCTTTTTTATAGAGCTGATTGGGTGCTACAAAAAATGTAATTACAAAAATTTCGCTGTCTCCCCTAGATTCGGAGATATTCCTCGAAAACTCAGCTAAGAGCTACAGTCGTCTTCTTAATCAGTGATGTTTCACCGCTTCACTACTGCATTATTCCTCATCGTTTGTCGTTTATGAAGAATTGTTTTGATAACGACTACAGTTGGTTGACCCACACCCACTCTCTTCATGTCTCGCACTTCCCACGTGGCTGGCGAAATAGCAATCACTTTTCGTGTTATCCAGCCAATGGGAGTACAATCGCCAATGAGCGCGGTCTCTCACTACCCTGACCGTATAGTAGGCGGCCAGTTTGATGATTCCCGGTGCCGGCATCGACTTCAATACGCGTTCTATCACTTCCGTTTACTCACAAACTCTCTTGCCAGTGTGATGGGAGTTCTTGACCGCGTGACTTGTAATCGTAGCCACTCAGGATTTTGTGCTCTTCAATGACTGGTGCAATTGTTTTCATCTGAGAGAATGGGAAATGATAAACTGGAAGAGAATGATAGCGAATAATAATTGATTCAGTTTTTGGAGGGATTGACCTTCGGCGATTGTTGAGGTGTTTTCGATTATTCGATTTTGAAAGACAAGTTTGTGGATAAATACACAGATTACATGGCTATCTGTATAGCTTCTAGATTAAAAATTTATCAGTCCTCGAGACACAGCAATAAGATCATGCAAAAGCAATTTTGGCAGTTATTTATTTGAACGGTTTTGAAATTTGGAGATGGAACGGAGCAGAGTGCGTTGGGTCGTTAAAAATTCAGGGGAGGAGGTGAAGACGCAGAGTTATGATCGACAAATTTGGGAGAATAAAGGTAATAATTGCTTTTTTCGAGCTTAAAGAATTTTTTTTTAAATTTTTCTCGCGCAATTTAATTGATAAATTTGATGATTGAAAATGGGTGAATCTGTAGTTCTATGGTTTTTTTTTTTAAGCATCCAAACTATGTGGTTTATTCTGCTATAAAAAAAAATACAAAACTACAAATGTGGTTATAAAATAATTCTTTAGGTACTATTCGTAACGATTTATATGACTTCTTCGAATATTCAATCCTGAGGAGTTCAAGAAGGAATCAATATGTTTGAGAATAGTTCTATGGTTGAATCTATAATCCGCACTCTCTAGGCCCTCCGACAATATTTCAGAATATTCTAGACTTTTCTATCATCTATCACCTAAATGTCGATTTCAACATGAAAAAAGTTGGATCGGGGCAAGACGGGCCACCGAACGCACGGGTTTTCTAAAAGTGAAGTATACATTTCACCCGATATTCTGTCTATTCTTAATTTTTCGAAACAGTTTCAACTGAGAGACTGACAGAATATATAGAACGTGTCACGATACCTGCTAATTACATATTCACGGATTAAGTCACTGGCCACGTAAATGTTATTTATACCTGACTGAGGAGACGTGCGATGAGTAAAACATGCATAATAACAGTGGCATTTCAATCTCTCGGTTTTCTTGGATGAAAAATTGTTGGATGATTTGAAGACTGGGGAGTGCACTGGTAGAAATTTTTTGATATTTCATGGAAGATATTATAGTAAATTTCGTGAGAGTGACATTGAATCGGATTTAGGAAAAAAATGTTTATGAAATTTCAAGTTTTAAGTCGAATTCACGGAAATTCATGACTCGATTGAATTTTTTGTGGAACATGAATATTGAGAAACAAAATGACATGAATTTTCAATTTTTCCCAGAATTTTCCTGATTTTTCTGAATTTTCACAGAATCATTGAACTAAAAAATCAAGTAGACTGTCAAAAATTTTTGTCTGAAATTTCCTTTACACTTTTTGGAACTTTTTATCGATTTTAATTACCACTGAAATTTCAAGGAATTTCGTTATTGAAAATTCAGAATTTCGTGGAAAAATCAAAGAGAACTGTCAAAATTGCATTTTTTGAAAATTCCGGTAAATATATCCTTGAATTTTCAGGACAGTGACACTGAATGCGATTTAGGGGGAAAAAATCATGAAATTTCAGATTTCACTGAAAATTTAATGTAATTTGGCACTGAATATTCATATTAGATTGGAAATTCAAATAAATTATGTAATTCTCCTCTTTAAGGTGCTCAAAATTCTAGAATTTTACTGAATTTTCAGTGAAACCTGAAATTTCATGATTTTTTTTCCCCTAAATCGCATTCAGTGTCACTGGCCTAAAGATTAGTAGTCAACTATCCATGAAATTTCATTTTTTTTTCTAACAGTGTATTCTACTGATTTCCAGATCATTTGGTCTCTCAATTGGTCAAATCAATGGAATATTTGATTTCTCAATGACAAAATTACCTGAAATTTCAGTGGAACTTGAACACGATAAAAATTTCCGATATTTAGCTCGAAAAATTCAGACGAAAATTTTTAAGAGTGTGCGTCGGCGCCTTTCGAGACCGATTGTCGCAGGAAACTTCCCTTTTTCGTGCAGTAGGCCTTGAACGTTCGCGGGTTACGCTGTTATCACACCGATAGGGGGGAGAGAATAATCGCGAAGATACTCTCAATGTTTTGATTTATCGAATCGATGACAAATGTGCTCGATTCATTTTCAATGTTTTCGTTTTCTCGTTGTCAGACCTTGACATTCGGCGTCCGGTTCACGTCTGTAATAACTCTGACTTAATGTGCTGAAGTTGCGGGATGTAACTTCATCATTTGTTGAAATAATGCCGCTATTATTTTAGCCTGAGAGAGTGTTGCATTATTTCGCGGTGAGGGAATGAAGGGATTTCATGAAGCATCCGGGAAATTTATCGTCATTTTTATTTTCGTGCTTCACTTCCGGTGAGGGCACCAGCGGGAGAACTCATCATGTTATTTGTCCGAATGAATAATTATGTGCGAGTATGAATTAATAATTAGAGTTGGAAATTAGGGGAAGTATTTGGATTTGCAGCTGCGGATTGTTTGCAGACTGGGGAAAATTGTTTTGTAGTTTTCCGTTTTAGATGGAAAGAGAGAAAAGTTGAATAAAAAGTACTTGAAAATCGTGGCAAATTTTACTATACGAAAGGTAGTAGTGGAGCGAAATTCTAGTTCAATAAAAAATACCTGATTTCAATGAAGAAATCTCATTTCCAAAATGATTTCCATGATTACTGATTTCATTGATTTCCAACATTGTTATTCGCGATTTCCAATGATTTCCAGCAATTTCGTGGAATGGAAAGCAATGATTTTCAGTAACTTTGTTCGACAAAAAAACAGTGGCACATTTTTCAAGAATCAAAATTTTTCCTTCTTTTTTAAACAATTTCAACGCAAATATTGATTTATCAACACTTATTGGTTTATCAAATTTAATACTAATTAATCCAAAACAGGTTCTGCTAAGAATGAATTGTGTATTAACTTTTCAATGAGAAGTATTTTAACCTTTTTTTTTATTAATCAGCACTTTAGAAATATTTTTTACATTTTCATAAATTCCTTCCTCGGTATACATTAGAGAAAAATGTGAATTCCGGCGACGGACACTTTTTTTGCTGTGTTGGAAAAAGACGTTGATCCATAGTTCATAGGGAAGAATTTATCTTCAGTTTTCATTGATTGCCAAGTTGAAAATCGCGCGATTTTCACGATGTTCATGATTTCCACGTGATTGTTATTATTTTCAAAGTTACTAGTTCCCTGGGAGGATTTCTTACTATTCGTTCGATGAAAAAAAAACATCTTGGATGCCAAAATTACTGTTCCCTGTACAGCAAAATTTCCCAAACGGTAGGAGATTTTTTCTGGCTCTTAGGTGATTCACATGGAGACGGACGAAAGCGAAATTTTACCATACCGCGTTCCGTACAAAATATAATTCTCCGCCATAAAAAAATTTCTCTACATATGTGAATGATTACGGAATATTGAGCAATGATTCACATTTATGGGATAATTTTCGATAGCATGAATGGTAAATTTTACAGTTTCAGTACAATTACCCTCACGTTTAGTGAATTTTCTCAAGCCAGTGGAGGAAAATTCATTATTTTCCCGCATTTTGACCCGATCGATTTTGCCCCGTATAACCACGAAAAACTTCATTTCTTCCTATTTTTACCTTTAAAATGCTCCTTGCGCCGTAGTTTTCATACGATTTTAGTTTTTTTTTTAAATATTCGTTACACTCCAAAGAATAAAGTTAAGCATTTGTTTGACTTTATTCGTAATAGATCATGAATAAATGAATTTTGAATTTCATAGATTTTTCGTGTCTCTAGAATAGAGTAAAATTTATAAATTTCAAAATTAATTTATGATTACATATTCACCGACGTATCCCCTTAAGGAAAGGAGGAGACATACATAGGTGTAAAACAAAGAACACGTTTGTAACACCAAAGAGATGAATAAATAAAATAAATAATTTCGCTTTAATTACTGAATCAATTTCAGAATTTTTTAAACTAATATGCGTCATCTCGGTTTATAGAATTACTCGAATAGCTTCAACGGCTCTGCTCTCCCCCCTTCCGACCCCAAAACGCAATTTTCATTATCAGATTTATCCGACCGAGTGAGCCACGTAATAACATTTTTTTATAAGTGATGTCTCCCCTTCGAGCTACGTCTTTCCCGCCTCAACCCAACTAAAAGACGGAGCGACGAAAAATGGACGATGACATTTGTAAGTACTTCCTCGAAAGTAAAAGAAAAATATTGGAAACACGTGTGAGCGTCTCAGTGACACATAACCAGATGCCTCTAATCAGCGTTAATTAGAATACGTTAATTTTACTTTCAAACTCCACTCCAAATGCGACACAAACTTTTTTTAGAATTGTTATAATACGCGCTGCTACATCGCATTTTTTGGTAATTTCACAGTGCAACTGGAATGAACTCTCCTTCTTATCAAATTCCGTGGATGATGAATTTTTTTTAGCGGTGACAACTGATAAGGCTGCATAAATTATGCGGAAGAATTGTAGATACTACTGCCAAGTGTGTCATTGTAAAATTCACAAACAATCCGGAATTTTCTCGGTGTTGTTGGAGAATAATTGATGAAATCCAATGAACGAAGAGAAAAAAAAACATCCTAACAATATTACATGAAAGTTTTCAATGCCCCCATGGAAAAATATATTAAAAATGTATATAATATAGGTCAATTTAATATATTCTTCGAATATATATAAGACGTATATAAGGTATATATGAGACATATATCAGTTTATATTTAACATAACTTTTATATATAAATCAGGCCGATTTCATACATGAAATATATCATTTTCGGACTATATATATATTTTTCCGTATGGGTGAATTCATCAATTTTTTTTTTTGGTATTCAAGAATAGATTTGTCGGTTAAAAAATACAAACAACTCCTTATTTTATTCACTTCTTCAAAGAATAGTTGATGCAATCGAGTGAACAATGTGCAGGACAGCGATTCTAATAACATTACACGAATACATGAAATAAGTTCATCATTTTGTTATTCAAAGAACGGATTTATCCATTTGTGAAAATTGAGAGAATAATGCCCTTTTCGATCGTGAACCAAATTGTTTGATTTTCGCTTCGTCTCTTCATTAAAAAAAATACTCTATCCGATTCAAGAGATCCCAAACAATTATGAATGTTGTTCATATATTTAAAAAATAGTTGATATAAGAAGAGGAGCTATTGTAACAATCTATTCTAACAATAATATACAAAAATATCTGATAAATTCATTTTTTTTACTAGACATTTACCATTTTTTATTATGAGAAAATCAATAAAAATCGAACAATTTGGTGCATATTTTTAAAGTTGTCAAAATCAATCACTCAATGTACTTCAATTGCG